GCTAGGACACTCGGCCAGCCATTGCGGCAACAAAACTCGTTGTGGCAAATGTGGTGAAAACCACAAAGAGGATTCTTGCCACAAAGAATCAGTAAAATGCGCGTACTGTGGCGAGAATCCTCACCCCTTGCAGGAGTGCCCGATGTACAAGCAGCACTCCGATAAAGTGCAGCGTTCAATCTCAGGACGCTCCAAGCAGTCATATGCTCAAATGGTGAAGGCTGCATCAGCCGTCCAAGATGCAAACCAATTTTCGATTTTGTCAGCTGAAGAATCGGACTCTGACTCATCCGATGAAGGTGATTCTACGGTGGTACACGCACCTTCATAAATGGACGGATCCTCAAAAAGAAAATGCGCCTCCCCGAAAGTGCGCCGTAAGAAAACTAAAGTCACCTCCAGAAGATTGGCAAATTCCCAGGGTAATGGGGATGAAAAAACGAAACCGAAGGCTCCTGCTGAACCAATCACTGGATGCAGCAGGAATTTTCCACCATTGCCCAACAAAGATAAGAAAAATAATAAAGCTGCTCCTCAAACTTCTCAAAAGAAATCCAAGTCCGAACGAGGTTTGCTAGCTTTTTCGGACATTGTGGAATTCATATTAAATATGTTCAACATACAAGACCCTCTTAGAAGCTTAGTTTCTGCCTTGCTTCCAACATTAGAATCATATCTTAAGCAATTGACTGTTTCATGGCCCCTCCTTGCATCAATCATATCTTTCGATGGATAATTCGTCGAACGAGGTTGAAGATATGATCACTGTGCTACAGTGGAACTGCCGTAGTCTAGTGCCTAAACTAGACTCGTTCAAATTTTTACTTCACAATTCTGATTGTGATATATTTGCTCTCTGTGAAACATGGCTTTCTTCCGATGAAGAACTCAACTTCCACGATTTTAACATTATACGCCTGGATAGAGACGATTCTTATGGAGGAGTACTTTTAGGGATCAAAAAGTGCTACCCTTTCTACAAAATTTCCCTTCCTGCTCTATCAGGCGTCGAAATCGTCGCTTGCCAAATAAATGTGAAGAACAAAGACCTTTGCATAGCTTCAGTTTATGTTCCACCAAGAACCTCCATTAGCCGTAGTCAACTCTGGAATCTAGTTTCGATTCTTCCATCCCCAGTATTAATTCTGGGTGATATGAACTCCCATGGTACTGGGTGGGGCGATCTATATGATGACAATAGAGCGGCTATTTTTTACGATTTATGCGACGATTTCAACTTGACTATTTTGAACACTGGTGAAGCGACACGTATAGCAAAACCTCCGGCTCGAGAAAGCCGACTCGACATATCTTTGTGTTCAAGATCGCTATTGTTGGATTGTCTGTGGAAGGTTATCAATGATCCCCATGGTAGCGATCATTTGCCAATCATCATTTCAATTAAGTGTGGCCCTCACTCTGCAGAACCATCTCGGGTTCCATTTGATCTTACAAGGAACATCGACTGGCAGAAATATGCAACGACGGTGACAATCGGTGTCGAATCAATAGATGCGCTTCCACCATTGGAAGAATATCGATTCCTCGCCGATTTGATTTACAAAAGTTCACTGGAAGCACAAAAAAGAAAAGTTCCAAGTGCGCCCTTCAAAAGGAGACCAGCCACACCTGGATGGAACGAAGAATGCACAAAACTGTATGTAGAAAAATCTGATGCTTTCAAAGCTTTTCGTAGACACAAAACCTCCACATACTTCGAGGAATATTCAAAGCTTGAGACAAAGCTGAAACAATTAATCAAAGCAAAAAAACGCGGTTATTGGCGCAATTTCGTCGAGGGACTCTCACGAGAAACCTCAATGAACACCTTATGGAGGGTGGCTCGCAACATGCGTAACCGCTCATCTTCTAATGAGAGTGAAGAATACTCCAACCGATGGATATTCGATTTCGCTAAAAAGGTCTGTCCGGACTCAGTTCCAGCACAAAATATTCTTCGAGAAGCGTGTCCGAGCGGCAGCTCTCTGGATAGACCATTCACAATGCTGGAATTCTCTATGGCTCTTCTTTCATCGAACATCTCCTCACCGGGAAGCGATATGATTAAATTCAATCTTCTGAAAAATCTCCCAGATATCGCTAAAAGACGCTTGCTAGACTTATTCAATTCCTTACTAGAAAACAACATTATACCGCCTGAATGGAGACAGGTCAAAGTAATAGCCATTCGAAAACCTGGCAAACCAGCGTCTGACCATAACTCATACCGCCCGATTGCGATGCTTTCGTGCATTAGGAAATTATTGGAGAAAATGATCCTTCGGAGACTCGATCAGTGGGTCGAAACAAATAACTTGCTATCAAATGCACAGTTTGGGTTCCGCAAGAGCAAAGGAACAAACGATTGTTTAACGCTGCTTTCCACAGATATTCAACTGGCCTTTGCGCACAAGGAGCAATTGGCTTCAGTATTCTTGGACATTAAGGGGGCTTTTGATTCAGTTTCCATTGAAATTCTGTCAGATAATCTGCACAGATGTGGACTTTCCGGAATTTTAAATAATTTCTTGTACAATTTGTTGTCAGAAAAGCAAATGAACTTTTCCCTTGGACAACTGACAACTTCCAGAATTAGCTACATGGGCCTGCCCCAAGGCTCATGTCTCAGCCCTCTTCTTTATAACTTTTATGTCAAAGATATCGACAACTGTTTGGCAGAACAATGCACGCTAAGACAACTTGCAGATGACGGTGTGGTTTCCATAAGAGGTCCACGTGGACTTGCAAGGACCATTGCAAAGTTCCTTAGATAACTTGTCTTCTTGGGCTAGGAATCTAGGGATCGAATTCTCGCCGCAGAAAACTGAACTGGTAGTGTTTACTCGAAAGCGGTACCCAGCCCAAATGCAGCTTAATCTTTTGGGCAGAAACATTACTCAATCATTGTCTTTCAAGTACCTTGGGGTCTGGTTTGATTCAAAGTGCACTTGGAATACCCATGTTACGTATTTGAAGCAAAAATGTCAACAGAGGATCAACTTTCTCCGTTCAATTTGCGGCACATGGTGGGGTTCTCATCCGGGAGACCTCATAACGCTTTATAAAACAACTATTCTCTCTGTTCTAGAGTACGGCTCTTTCTGCTTTCTCTCGGCAAGAAAATGTCACCTAATAAAATTGGAACGAATTCAATATCGTTGTCTGCGTATTGCTCTCGGCTGTATGCACTCAACGCATAACATTAGTCTCGAGGTTCTGGCAGGAGTAACACCCCTCCAGAACCGTTTCTGGGAGCTCTCTCTCAGAATACTAATCAAATGCGGAGTGACGAACACATTTATAATTGCAAATTTTGAAGAAATTCTTGGGCTGAATTCACAATCTCGATTTATGAGAATCTACCACCACTACATATCATCAGATATGTGTCTTCCTTGTTATACTCCAGACCGTGTTCACTTCACCAATCGCAGTTCCTCAATTGAATATGATCTGACCATGAAACAAGCAACTCATGGGATTCCCGATCAACTTCGACCTATTATTATTCCGCGTATTTTTACTGAAAAGTACCAACAAGTCAATTGCATGAAAAGATATTTTACAGACGGGTCCCGTCTCAATGGATCCACTGGCTTCGGTGTCTTCAATGAAAACTCTAGCGCCTTCCGCAAACTTCAGGAACCTTGTTCCGTTTTTGTTGCTGAGCTGGCAGCAATCAACTTCGCATTGGGGATGATTTCCGATATGCCCATAGACCATTACTTCATCTTCTCGGATAGTCTCAGTTCGATTGAGGCTATTCGGTCGATGAAACCAAGTAGGCACTCATCTTATTTCCTTTCAAAGGTAAGGGAGCAGATGAGTGTACTGGTCGAAAGATCATATATGATTACCTTTGTATGGGTCTCATCACATTGCTCAATCCCAGGCAATGAGAAGGCGGACTCTCTCGCAAAGGTGGGCGCGCAGGAAGGCGAATTTTATGACAGGCAAATTTCACACGATGAATTTTACCATTTAGTGCGTCAGAGTACCTTTTCGAGTTGGCAAACCGATTGGGACACTGGAAATCTTGAACGGTGGTTACATTCAATTATTCCTAATGTTTCTTCGAGAGCGTGGTTTAAAGGCTTGGACTTAAGTCGTGACTTCATTCGCGTGATGAGTAGACTTATGTCCAACCACTACTCGCTAGATGCTCATCTCAATAGAATAAACCTCGTAGACAGCAACATCTGTCGGTGTGGAAACGGTTACGATGACATCGATCACGCAGTTTGGCAATGTACGGATAATGATGCCGCCAGAGAACGACTTTTAAATACCCTTGAGGCCCAAGGAAGACAACCCTATGTTCCTATCAGAGACGTGTTGGGAACTCGCGATATCTGCTATATGCAGTCGGTTTATGTGTTTCTTCAAATGTCTAGTATAAGAATTTAATTCCTTTGTCTTTTGTCTCTCTTTAATAGTTTTTGTTTGTCTTGTCCCCCCGGTCGAACTCCAGACGAAACTAGAACCGCACTACCATTCATACTGGCGACAACGCTCTGATGAGACAACGAAACCTTACCCCCAAACTCCTCCCCTGATCCTATCCTACGACAATGTACCTCTCTAACCTCGAGTAAGCCACGAGTATTCGGCCCAACTTTGCTTCTACAAATCCACAAAAGACATTGAATTAAAGGTGGATTCTGGTACGGAATTACAGGCTGCTATTTTGAGCAACTTATCGTTATAAAATTAAAAATTACACACACAAAGCACTTCATAAAGGAATTCCGTTAAGAGGTTTCACAAATTTAAAGATTAAACATTACATTTAGTTATTTGTCTAATGTTATAGTATGAACTTTTGCTACATTTTTGTTTTTTTTAGTTAATTATTCTTGAACGCATTATTATTATTATTTAGCTTTATTTAGGAGGCTTTCAGCCTTAGGCTGGTTCGCCTCCAATACTTCTTGAACGCAGTTAAAACTAGGAGATGAGGAAGAAATATAATCATTTGGTGAAAACATACATAAACACACACAGTGAAAAATACTTCCACGGATACTTTCAATACTGTCATTGACAAGAACATATACGTTGAGACAACACCTATAATGACAATGGCAACTGACAAACGTAAAGACATCGACAAAGACAATGGCACTGACTGACACTGATTCTCAAACATTTCAAAAAGATCACGATTAAGAAGGTATTGCAAAACATTGTCCTCTGTACGTTTACTTTCCAACTTTTACTACAACTATTACTACTGTTACTCCGGCTATCCCCTACTTGAAACACTATTCCTCCCTAGCCGGCATCTTAAGCAGGATTCACTTGATCCCTGTGATTATTATTCTGTGGTGCCAAATCTTTACATCTACCCTTGTGCTGTATGGATAGTGATTTTTCACTGGAGACCTGGCCCTATGACCCCCTTCTGTGCTTGAAAATGAAAATGAAAAATGAAAATAACAGTGGTGGTTAGACAGTACCACCCACCGCCTAAATGGAAGGATTACTGTACATCCAACATTTATGGTCCCAATTATGTAAGTCGAGTCAAGTGTTACTTCTGTTCGCTGGTCTAATTTATACTATTTTATTGGTATCGTACCCTTTTAAATTACTTTAATGTAGTTAAACTAGTTAGACAATCAATATTTAATGTTTGGCATTACCCTGTGATACCCTTAAGCGAACCAGTGATATTCAATGGAGGACATTCAACGACGGTTTAACCTTGTGATATTTCACCCACTGGGAGAATGAAGGACAATGCAAATTCAGTTTTATACATTATTTTATTTCTTCAGACATTCTTAATCTAATTAACATTTTATTTTCGTTTTTTTTTATTTTTAAAGACATTTTTCAAAAAAAATTGAAATAGAATTTGAAAGAAACTACAGTGGTATATCTCATCTTTATGACTGTTAAAATTTTCGCAAAAATAATATTCCGTAGTGATAATATCACGGTTCGATTAAACTCTTTCGTTATCAATGTATTTTTGACGAACGTTTCATGATGCAAAAAACTTCAATTGCTAAGACATTTCCAATGTTTCATATCGTATCAGTTTAGAAGACATATCAGCTCACAATCGTAATTGTAATGCATATTGTAATATTGTGAAATTGCAGACGTTTGGTATCTTGTCAAGAAAACTAAGAACACTTGGCACTTAAACACTTATAGACTATTCTCAAATTTGTAATGCATATTGTAATATTGTGAAATTACAGAAACGGTGGTATCTTTTAAGGCAAAAATAATATTCCGTAGTGATAATATCACGATCCAAAAAACTTCATCAAAAGTTTTTATTCTCAAAAAAAATTGAAATAGAATTTGAAAGAAATTGTAGTGGTTGGTTGTTTTTTTTTTCGCATACGAATAGGAAATAGAAAATATTGAGAAACTTCAGTTGATGGTATCCGTTTGATGCTTTCGCAAAAATAATAGAAATAGAACTTAAAAAGAATTTACAGTGAAGGTTCTTGATAGGTGACAAAAAGTTTTCCAATACAGTCACCCCAGTATTATGGGCCACCCACAATTATGGGTCACTTCCATTTGATTAACACGCAGAACTGACTGACCCATAATAGTGACTAGCTGGCCCATAATACTGGGGTGACTGTATCCCCTGTGACCGATGGAAAATTTTTGGGCGAACCTCAAACGGAGGAGCTATTCCAATAATTTCGTGGTCAAAACGGAGGCTAGGATGCAGCCACGTTAGCTCTACACGCTAATGTTGGAAAAACAGCACTGCTGTAAACTTTGATTGTGACGACCCGCGCCATGTTTTCATTTACATCGGGCCGTCGCATTGATAAATATAATATTTAATGTGTGTTCAATTAACGGCAGGGTGAATAATTACCGTGGACGTAGACGTGATTGTTAACCGTAGACGTAGACGCGTTAGATGATTTTCGCACTCATGCGACCTTTGGTCATATGATGACGACTTGCTAGAAGAACTTCTTTTAGACTTTTCGCAAAAATAATAGAAATAGAACTTAAAAAGAACTTACAGTGTTTGTATCTTTGATTTTTTTTTGTTCGCACTCATGCGACCTTTGGTCATATGATGACGACTTCTGGAGGGTTGAAGCAACACGAGGGCCCTACGGTCTTCTGACCAGATCTAGTTTCGTTAGTTTTCGTAAAAATAATATTCCGTAGTGATAATATCACGCAATGAAAAGACTTCGTAGACTTTGCAAAAATAATATTCCGTAGTGATAATATCACGCAATGAAAAGACTTCGTAGATTTCTTAAAAATAATATTCCGTAGTGATAATATCACGCAATGAAAAGACTTCGTAGAAATAATATTCCGTAGTTCGGACGTGAATTATTTGCAACTTCGAAAACCTAATAGGGAAGGAGAGTTCACTTCAATATATGTTATCCAGTAGGGTGACACATTGTGGTGTAAAGACTTTTTAGACTTCGTAAAAATAATATTCCGTAGTGATAATATCACGCAATGAAAAGACTTCGTTATAAGACTTTTAGAGAGACGTAAAAATAATATTCCGTAGTGATAATATCACGGCACAAAAACACTTAATGTCGGTTGTTATACTATATGAATTAGGATTTATAACTCCAAGACTTTTTAATTTGATTCGCAAAAATAATATTCCGTAGTGATAATATCACGCAATGAAAAGACTTCGTAAAAATAATATTCCGTAGTGATAATATCACGCAATGAAAAGCCTTTGTAGACTTCGTAAAAATAATATTCCGTAGTGATAATATCACGCAATGAAAAGACTTTGTAGACTTCGTAAAAATAATATTCCGTAGTGATAATATCACGCAATGAAAAGACTTTGTAGACTTCGTAAAAATAATATTCCGTAGTGATAATATCACGCAATGAAAAGACTTCATTATTTGACTTTTAGAAAGACGTAAAAATAATATTCCGTAGTGATAATATCACGGCATAAAAACACATTATGTGGTTTGTTATACTACAAGACTCAAGATTTCTATCTTCAAAAAATTTTAAATTATTTCGCAAAAATAATATTCCGTAGTGATAATATCACGATCCGAGACGCCTTGTCGGAAGATTTTTTTTTTCGTAAAAAAAATTGAAATAGAATTTGAAAGAAATTTTAGTGGCTGAACTTGTTTTCTTTTGCAAAAATAATAGAAATAGAACTTAAAAAGAACTTACAGTGAAGTGCACCTTTCGTGACCCAGGACACGATGAACGGAGTGCCTCCAGAAGCGGCTGCTTCCTCTCCTGAAGGCCCACAACGTCCCAACAATCTTCTGGCCGGATTTGGCCTCATGCCACTACTCCAAGGACGTGCTGAAGTGGTATGCGGACAATAAGGTAAATTTCGTGCCGAAAATGTTCAACCCTCCCAACACTCCGGAGCTTTGTTTTTCGCACTCATGCGACCTTTGGTCATATGATGACGACTTTCTAGAAGAACTTTTGTAGACTTTTTGCAAAAATAATAGAAATAGAACTTAAAAAGAACTTACAGTGACTGTATCTTTGCTTATCATTTTTTTTTTTCGCACTCATGCGACCTTTGGTCATATGATGACGACTTCCCTATGGAACTGTTTGTTAATAAAGGGGGAGTACACTTTGATTTTTCAAAAAAAAAATGCATTTTTTTTTGGCTTAAAATGTTTCTTGGCATGTATACTTTAATTTAGACAATACTCCAAGTCCGCCAGAATATTTCTTACCGCTTTACGAAGCGATTTCCTAAAGCATGTACCGGTGCGCTGAGAGAGAGGTTTTCCCCCTTATTCTGCGCCGCGAGTGAGGTGAGGTGACTCGCTGTCACTAGTGAGGTGACAAAAGTCACCGCGAGTGAGGTGGCTCTCCGTGCAAATCAAATGGAAATGCACCTCACTTGCGGTGACTTTTGTCACCTCACTAGTGACAGCGTGTCACCTCACCTCACTTGCGGCGCAGAATAAAGGGGTTTATCTCTAAACGCGTTTATCTCGAAACGGGGTTTTTCAAACTGGCGTGGGAAATAACTCTAACCAGTTATCATCAAATTTGGATATCTCCTAGGTTTTCTTGTTCAGAATTAAATTCTGCTTAGAAATACGTACCACATTTTGACAAAAATTGATTTTTAATCCACGATTTTGTAAGCTTTTTAGGGTGAAAAAATGGACTTTTTTTCCTAAGGCCACAACGTTTGAAAAAATTAATTTAAAAAAAAATTGGAATTCGTATTTCTAACCCAAATTTCATTACTAATCAGGATTTTTGTTCAATTTATGTTCCTGGATCACATGGAAAGGAGTATTTTCCCACGCCGTTTTCCGACTTCCGCGTGAGGACGCCCGCGCGACCTGGTGCACAGGCCACGGGGAGACGCCAATCGATTTCAAAAAAATACAAATTGTAGTTCGAAGGATGACTAACATATTTGCCCTCCCTAAGTGTTCTATTGCTTAAAAAATTAACGAAAATGCCAGTGACTATATCTTTGCTTATCTTTTTTTCGCACTCATGCGACCTTTGGTCATATGATGACGACTTCCCTATGGAACTGTTGTTAAACTTTCTTGTAGAATTAGATTTTTGTAAATCTCAAATATTATCGCACTCATGCGACCTTTGGTCATATGATGACGACTTCCATGAGGAGCATTTTTAACCTTGCAGAAATAGATTTGTTTTGATGTTGGCTTAAAAGCCTTTAAAACGTTTCGCACTCATGCGACCTTTGGTCATATGATGACGACTTCCCTAAGGAACTTTGTTTTAAACTGATTTCAGACAATTGAATCAGAATCCTTAACTACACGAACCATTATTATGGTTCGCACTCATGCGACCTTTGGTCATATGATGACGACTGCTAAGCAGAATTTTTAATCTTTTATCGCAATCAATTTGCAAATTGTAAGTCGTATGTCTTTTTTTGCTTGAAATGTCCGAACTTGTGTCTTTCGAATTGTTGTGTGACTGTCAAAGAGTGAACATCTTTGTGTGGTTTTTAATCTTTGGACACCTTTTTGTGAAATATTTAGAAGACAACTTAACGTTTGTTAAGAAATCATTAGAAGACACATTTAAAAAAAATTGAAATAGAATTTGAAAGAAATCACAGTCGGGTTGGATCAATGTTGATTAAGACTTTCAAAAAAAATTGAAATAGAATTTGAAAGAAATCACAGTCAGGTTGGATCAATGTTGATTAAGACTTTCAAAAAAAAATTGAAATAGAATTGGAAAGAAATCACAGCGTCGGTCATATGAGTGTTGTAAAACTGTTAAAAAAAATTGAAATAGAATTTGAAAGAAATTACAGTGTCGGCCATTCAAGTGTTGTTAAACTGTTAAAAAAAATTGAAATAGAATTTGAAAGAAATTACAGACTGCTTGGTGTATCTTGAGACTATTCTCATACGAATAGGAAATAGAAAATATTGAGAAATTCTAGCGGTTTTTATCTTTTTCTCTGATACGAATAGGAAATAGAAAATATTGAGAAACTTCAGTGGTTTGATTTTTGTTCTGATACGAATAGGAAATAGAAAATATTGAGAAATTCTAGTGGTTTGACTTTTTTTCTGATACGAATAGGAAATAGAAAATATTGAGAAACTACAGTGATTTGGAACCTTGGCATGTTGTTTGCGTTTCACGTCATCCACGTTCGCAAAAATAATAGAAATAGAACTTAAAAAGAACTTACAGTGTTGGTTCTCAAAATTCTTATACGAATTGTAAATAGAAATATATAGAGAAATTCTAGTGGTTTCTGTTGCTTATACGAATTGTAAATAGAAATATATAGAGAAATTCCAGTGGTTTCTGTTATTTATACGAATTGTAAATAGAAATATATAGAGAAATTCTAGTGGCATGTGTTTTCTGTTAACCGAAGAATCTCGGTTTCGCAAAAATAATAGAAATAGAACTTAAAAAGAATTTACAGTGATGGCTAATCTTTTAAACTCGAAAACAAAATCGTAAAAATAATAGAAATAGAACTTAAAAAGAACTTACGGTGGTGGCTTCTCTTTTAAACTTAAAAAAAATTGAAATAGAATTTGAAAGAAATCACAGTTCAGTTGGATCCACGTGCTTTTGAGGTTAGGTACCTTCACCGCCCGGAGCATGACTGAGCGCATGCCCATACGCCATTACAAATTTGTGATGAGTCAGCAGACATAACCTCACCAAGGCTGCTGACTGACGCCATCTTGGAAAACGCTCACCTCCAGTTGCGGTAGTCATTTTGCAGACACTTTTTCCGAATAAAAGCTCAAGATCTTTGGGTATCGATCTTTCCACTGCACTATAATCGACATTAGTCCTGGATTCTGCTAGATAATTCTGTAAAGAAAGAAAAGAAAGTTCATGACAACGCCTTCTTCGCATGCAGCATAACTGGAGAGAAATTAAATTTTCGAAGAAAAAATGCCTACCTTATAGAATGGTTTAAAACCGCACCAGTTTACATCGCAAACGATTCATTTCGGTGCAGTTGAATTATATAATCGAGAATATTCTGTTCACGATTTCCTTCACGAGGCGTGGAACAGATCCGCCATTTTTGATTTAAACTTTTCTCGAATCTTCCAACTGCAGCTCATCACTTTCGGCAACCAATGCTTTAAACACGAGTAACAAACTAAATGCAGTTGTTCTAATACTCATTCCAGCAACTAATCAAAGTAAAAGTAGCAGCAGCTCCATTATTCCAGAAACTAACCGTAATGGGCACGGCTGATTATAAATTTTCACTTCACCATCTTTTCTTCCTTCTTTCACTGCGCTTTAAGCTGCACTTTCCACTACGGTTGCCGAGATACGAATGATGCCGAACGATTGCTGCCGGACGGCTTATGTACTGCCGGCAGGTAACAGACATACGTTCGACCGTAGCCATGTAGATTGTTGTTGTTGCCATTGGTGTCTATACCTGCAGTTTGGGGTAGCGCTCGTGTGTGTTGGTACCAACGGACCGGTTGTTTCGGTTTTTGTAGGAATAATAAACAGCGGCGAAGAAACATTTCATCTTGGAATTTTTTGGGAATTTCGCATTAAAATTGGTAGATTTGTTCAACAATTCTTTTGTCATTACACGTTTCCTGAAGAAAAAAATAATGTACTTCTTCATATAACTTTCCCACAGGTAGATCTGGTTCTGTGGCTTGGAAAAAATGAATTGGATGCTGAAAAATAACACCTTTTTAAAACAATTGAATCATTCTCAGAATGATTGGCATAGAAATAGCAACGACACATGATTGACTTTATGATTAAACGAAACTTATCCTAATTTTCCATCAAATACTGGACTATATTTTCTCAATCAAACGGTAAAAGACTTGCCAAACCCATGTTGAAAGAAGAAAAATCGATCGAAGCTAGGCTCCTCTTCCGATCCGCCATTGCGGTTTTGAGTCACCCTGTGTCTGGTTGGCAGTCTGGTGCCGAACGGTTTCGATACGATGGTGGTTGTGATGCAACGGAACATTCCACCAATACACGCATGGCCGGCTTTCAACTGTCGCCGTCTATCTCTACGTAGAAGGGAAGAAAAGCGCGAAAGTAAAATGACGCCCGGCATGGCAAAATTCGCGTGCATTCAGGGATTGTGCTGATTTGGATTAAATTTTGGTATCGATTTGTTTTTCAAACGCACGAAGATGGTCTTCACAGAAACGTTTTTGGATTACTTCATCGATTAATTTTAATACTTGGATTTCAAAATTAGAATTGACAATAGATAAGCATTGGAATGTTTTGATTGGACGCAACTTGACTACATGGCAGACTGCTTATTCTTTTTGTGTGATAAGGTGATGGACAATCATTTTGTAAATGGTTATTAAAATGGGATCATTATGCATGCAGAATTTTTAAAAACTTCCGATCCTCATGTAAATGATAATATCCCGTTCAGACTATGGCTTACATCATGTAACATAGGCTGTCTTGCAATGAGTACTCATATATAGGATTTCCAGTGAAATCATGAAATATTACATGATATAAGCCGTAGTCTGTACGGGGTATAAGACATGGTAATTTTCTTCGTTACGAGCAACGTTTACATGGAGCATGATTTCGAAGGCTAAATTAGGAGGGTGAAGTGTATCACAATTAGTAAAGCTTTAAACTTCACTATAATTAAGTTGTATTTGAAATCTTGTTAACCTCTAACATCATAGATTTTAAATAGTGCCCCTAAACTTCATGAAAAATTAATACCATTTCTCATCATCGAGACTTGATGCCTAGTGGTTGGAAATATCCATATCCGCCATAGCATGGTGGAAAATCGGATTCTGCGCCTTACCGCATTATAGGAAAACAGCTCGATAATTGCAGATTCATTCAATCCAATGTTGTTAAAGCTATTTTCAGACGAATCATTTTTGGGAAGTAGAACAGTATTAATCCTTCTCTTAGTTGGGAGGCTTTCTTTGAATACAACATGCATTTTCGCTTGACAACATTATACAAATTGTTTAATGTTTATGGTCTCTTTTTCTGGTATTTAGTTCTGAATTAAAAATCCCTTATAATTAAAGGTTATTCTTAGGTAGAGAGGATAACTTATTTACATGTGGTCACATTGGTTAACTGATCATTTTCTGGAACAAGAGGAATGCTCGTAGGGGAGAACAGTCCTTAATGGCACCGTGGGGTAAAATGGCCCCACTTGGTTATTAGTTGCTTTCCCATATTTCTGGGATTTAATGTGACAGAATGCTAGTTCATGTACAGAACTAGCAATGCTGCTCGTCAAATTTACGAATTGATAATCGGAAAGCTATGGAAAACAGCGCGGGGCCAACCTACCCTACATATTGTTTAATTATTTTTTTTTATTCTGGCGAATTTCTAAGTCGTTTGTTTTTATTTGGAGAATTGCTTATGCTTTGACCTTGATTTGGAACACTAGAGGATGTAGTACAAAATGCATTTTGTTTCGTTCACGCAGTAGTAACCAGGTGGAAGTATTGAATCTTGAATTTGTTTGTCATGTAAGTTTCCCAAAGACTTAAATTCTATTTAAACAAAGGGAACATATGATAATCGTTTAACTTAATTACAAGTGGTACATTAGATCAATAATTCAAGACCTCCGGTATTTTTTTAGCTAACGAAGTTTTTAGTAGTTAGCTGAGATTAATTTGGAACCGTAGCAATTGTTATTTTCAATTGAAGTCCACGGCATTAGCTGAACCGGGTAGCTATCTTTAATCCAACGGTGTCTTCCATTGACGTGAGCATTAAAAAAAGCGAAACAAAAATCTTCCGTCTACCGCATTCTACCGTAAAACACCCAACATAAACACCAACACTGTTATAGCGAACAGAAATCCAATTGATGCACGGTAAATCATTTCTACTCGCTAGATAAGAACCTCCTTTATCAAACTATGTGGTAGAATTAACGCGAAATCTGTTTGCATAGCAGTGGTTATGAAAAGAGAAAGTCGATTAAGAGAATCGATCAATGCAGATAGGACCATTTGAAATGTTCATCGAGAATTACCGATAGAAGTTGGCAAGATGTTTAATTGGCAAATCAAAGTTGGCACTCGTGGAGAATAGAAGAACTATGAAAGTGATGATGGTTTCAAAATTTTGCACGGGGAAGTATACGAGTGCAATCTTAAAATGCTTTTATTTTGAAAATGGAGCATTTTATTTAAATCTGGTACAGTGGTAGAAAAGCGGAAGTCTATGTTTACACCTAAAAATCTGAAAAGAAATTAAGTTTTCTGTATTATATGTCTATTGAGTAGTCCTGAAGTTTTCTACTAACGTAGCACTTACCAGATTTAAATAAAATGCCCCATTCACAAAATAAAAGCATTTTAAGATTGCACTCGTATACTTCCCCGTGGAAAATTTTGAAACCATCATCACTTTCATAGTTCTTCTATTCTCCACGCGTGCCAACTTTGATTTGCCAATGAAAAAGGCTTTAATTTGCGTTGTGATAAATAGTTGAAGTTTTCCTTTATTTAACGTCGGTCTCTGTTCCGCAATCTAGTGCCAATCACCGACGGACATCGATTGCCAACCATTGACGACAATCGAATGTGCAGAAAGGCAGCTTCCACACCTGCGTATGATATCGCACCCATTCACAACACGTATGGGCCGGGACCAACGGCTTTACTTCCCTTCCGAAGGAAGACGTGACCAGAGATTTTTATGCCTCAGAAAAATCCCACCGACCTCGGCTGGGATTGAACCCAGACCCATTGGAGTGTTAGAAAGCAGTCACGCTTACCACTACACCACCGGCGCCGGCTGATAAATAGTTATTCTGATGTAAACAAACTGTTTGGTTGACGTTTCTTCTCGAACTCGCGTGGCGCACTCTACGTTGGTGGTGCATTAAAAAGGCGTGTCAGGGCAGAGCTGTACTCAGGAGTTTTTGCTTGACGGCAATCTCTCAATCTACACGAAACGAAAATTAATTATTTTATTCATGTGTTTCAAATATACATTTTTGCCAAAACTTCAGCCTTATACATGGCAAAAGACAAACCACATAGGTCCTACACGCTAACCTGAAAGTATTCATTAAATGAGTATTTTGTACTCATTTTTTGAAATTATTCGAAACTGTCAAAAAATGGGTATTTTAAAAAATCCAAAAGCGGGTACTTTTTCCCTATTTTTGAAAATATCCCCTGGAATTAAAATGGATAAAAATATGCATTCAATTAATGTCAAAACAGCTATATTGATGTTCAAACATTCGTGAATTTTGCGTTCGTTGACCTGCAAATCCATAAAAAATCGATTCGAATTAACAGATTCGTTCCAGCAGGTGTTGATTAAGGTAAACAAGTTAATTTGAAAATAATTCTGCGGCTGGGAGTTAAATTAGTTTTTTTACTTTCAGTGAAAGCAGGATTCCTGGTCACGATCTGTAACCGACTTTTACGAGGTAAGGATAAAAAGTGCAACTAGGAAGAACATTAAACCATTCTAAAAACATGTACCTTTCAGGTTAGTGAAGATCTTCGAAAAAGTAATTGAAGTACACATGCGGAAGGGATGAACCTGCTCGAAGAGCAGCATCCCTCGTGGACCGATCCCATCAGTGAACTGAACTGAATATTGGCGTTGACGGCACCATAGAAAAATCCTCTATTCTAGCAAATAATTACAGTTTTTCATAGGAATTTTCAGTGGAGTGAAAGGATAGTACAATGGCCGCCATGTTTCACGCACAGTCTGACGTTTGCTTATGGATTTTACCAGACGGACACTATGCCTCGACTGGTCAACGATTATGATAAGTGCTTACGTGCAATAAAGTGTAATAATTATTATTGTTTTGATTTCATTGTTTAAGGATTTCAATTGGTTTGATCACAGGCTCCCTCTCCCCCATAAAGCAAAAACCAAATCAATAAAATGGGTACTTTTTACTCATGTACAGAAAAAGAAAGATGGATAAAAAATACCTCTTTTTGGCGTATTCATCAAATACTCATTAATGAGTAAAGTCGGTTTTACTCATTTCATGAGTTAAGCCACTTTTCTTCAAAATGGGTAAATTTTTACTCATTAATGGGTACTTTGGAGTTAGCGTGTATAAGTATGCATAAAAGGTATATGTGACCGCTTATACATTTCATTTGACACATGATCTTCATTAAGTTTTTGCAAGGCGTCTGCTTATTAGTTGACTTATACATTTAATGAATAAAAAGCAATAGAAATTTGACATAAGGTATAAGGAGACTTCTATCCGTGTATGCCACCCCTCCTGCCTCATGGTTGGTTGGTTGGATATATTTATTAAGGTATTTTCTGGCAGACGCTGGT